TCAAGTTAAAACCCTTTTTTTCCATTAAAAACTCAAAATAAATCTTCGATGACCAATTTATACTGCTTCAAAGTCGTCCAAAAGTCGTCCGCCATTGCTGAAAACATGTTGCAGCCGAGCCCGCAATTGTACAGCAGGAAACGTCAAAGGCTCAACAAACTTATGCTTTGCCGTTGTCACAACTCTCTTTGTTTGCTGCAAAGAGAATCACACATACTATTTTTTTGAGGACTTTTTCGTTGCCAGTCGTAAAATGTCGTCCTTGTCTGATGATAAATTGTCCCAGAAATCATCGGAAGCTTTTGTGGATAGTTTTGCCCCGGCAAACCATGAACTTTTGCAATGCGAATAAAGATAAATACAGAAAGGCACGGACTCCCCATGTGGCTTTCGTAGTCACACCGCTTTATCGCCTTCGAATTGTATTTTTGCTTGTCGTAAAGGATTTTCCTTTTTTGTAAGAAATGATCGAGTGATATCTGAAAATAGTTTTCGGCAATGGCTGATTGTGTATCAAGGCGGATATTGGGAGTTTGTGGAAGCCATTTCTAAGCCATTAATGTGTTTGCCCATAGTTAATCGATTAACATTGGTTTGCCCCGATGCATTTGGTTAGTGATCTCATTAGCCCTTTCCTGCGTGTTTTTTACTATCTGTGCTTTGAGAGGTTTGAAGTGAACTCTGTTGTTGAGTTGCACTTTGGCCTCTTTTGTTTTTTCTGTCTTATTTATGATGACTATTGGTGGGTTGCCTCGGTGAGGTTTAAAGTAGAGTTTGTTTCAACTCTTTCAGAGCCGTGACTTCATTGCGTTACAAAGTATTTTTTGGTTAAAGTACAGTCTGCAAATTGTGTTAGGACAATTTTCCAAGTAGCTCTGAAGGGCGATAGAAGACTGAACCGGTGGCATTCAGTTTGATATGAAACGGTAGTGGTTCTTTGTTTTGTCCGTGAAAGGTGTAACGGAGGCGCATTCGTCTTTCGAAATCTCGCAATAGTTGGCTTCATTTCATATTCGTTTGTCACGGGTGTTGGGATGAATTTGAGACCCTTTGATAGTACGCTGACTTGGCTGTCAGATGATTGATAGTTTGAGAGGTTTTTAAAGAAATTTTCATTTTCTCGGTTTTTCGGCTGCAAGCCTACATTTTAAAGTGTTTCTAAGCTCTATGCGTCTTAAGCTGTTTTTTCTACTTTCGCTGGTATTAAAGCCAGCTTTTTTTAGAGTCAGGGCACACAATTATATTTTTCATCTCTTTTGTCTAAAAGTGAGCTCTTTGAGGTCAGAAATCCTATTCCTCAATTCGGCTATTTTATTATTCTTATTCATTATGTTCACCGAGTACTTTCCTTTGTGTAAGGTATTCTGCCAGAAAGTTGTTAGAAGTGGATACTGATCAGTGCATATGCCCTAAAGGTGACAAAACCCCTGGAGGTTCGTAGACTTTCTTTTTCGTCGAGATCGCACGGACGGTTTTTCTTGTCCCTTCTTTTGAACGGTAGGCACTGAACCCGACAGAATTCTTTGCCTAGATCTTTCAAGGTACACAGATCTCTCGAAACAGTCCTCCGAGAAGTTTTCGGAGTAGATCACAAATATTCCTGCAGGATTGAAGTTTACTCGGCGAGTTCGCACAAATCGCACCTGTTTTTCCCGCTCTGATCTATTTGCAAGGCTCCGATGCAGAAAAATACCAACTGCATAGTCTGCGAGATTACTTCAGCTTTGAATTACGCATCGATGCCTCGTCATTTTTGTTTAGTTTTTGTAAGAAGAGAGTAAACCACTCTGTTATGTTTCGACATTTTGCCATGTGAGATTTTCGCGTTGAGCCTTTGACGTCACTTCCTCTGAGTTCTGCGATCAACTTCCGGAACATGGTCAAATAATGGCGGACGGGTAATCGTGAATTTAACGGCCCGAAAAAAGATATCTCTGGTGCTCGGTCTAGACTGAAATTTGGCAGAGTAGGTGAAGGAGACATAATGAACACGAAAATGAAAAAAAATGATGTTGGAAAATTTTGATCTCAGGGGCACTTTAACTCTAGTGTATAGGCGGATTCATGCTGACGTCTTTGTTTACATGTTTGCTCATTTGCATACGGCTTTGCGTAAAGAAGGAAGCATGTTAGATACAAATTGACTTCAGGCAGCTAAAGAGCTAGAAAACCTTAGTACATGGTGAAATTTTTAGCTCTTTGGGTGTAATATTCAAGGAGAAATAGTCCATCAAAAACTGCAAAATTTCTGGGTGGCAAAAGCGCTAATGAGCTCATACATTCTATGTAAAATTTTGGTTTTTAAACCCGTGTTGCACAAAAAGTATTCAATGCATCAGGCTCGTATTCATTGGCCGAGTTAATCGTACTTTGACCTTTCGATATTCAGAACTGATTTATTTTTAGCTCCATCAGAAACTGAATTGCTTATACTAATGAGGCAAATATTGTAAACAAGGATTCCCCTATATAAACGATCTCGTAAAGGCAGTATCACAGCCCACTTCCGTGGACATCTTCGCAGATGACACGACTTTGAGCTCATGCTCGCCTTATACAGATACCTTTGGATTATGTTCTAGACTATGTCAAAGCACGTTGGAACTCGAAGAATGGTCGCGAAACAACCGGTTTAAGCTAAACACTAACAAAACAAAATCCATGTTTGTAACCGGAACTGGACTGCGCGCAAAGATAGACTCCCTCGACCAGGTGGAAATCCGTACCAGCAAAGGAAATATACTGGAAACTACCACAAGCCACAAGCTTCTTAGAGTATACATTGACTCGGACCTTTCTTTTAATGAACATGTTGAACATTTATGTAAGAAACTTGCAAAGCGTATAGGCGTCCTGAGATCAATTAGGCATTACCTGCCTTTTAATGAGCGCATATTATTCTATAACACAACTATAAATAATGGTAATTGAACTGAGTGGGGTGCAATTTGGGCTGAAATCATATGCGTGATTTCAAAATCAAACGAGTGCACAGCGCGAGTTCGATTTGAAATCACAAGTATGATTTCAGACCAAAATTGCACGACACGAGGTTCAATTACCACTTTATTACAACCATTTTGTAATTGCCCAAATACAGGACTTGGTCAACTCAAATATTTTATTGATGCAGTACTGAGCTGGTTTTTAAACAAAAAGCGGAAGCGGAAATGCTTTTACATCTTATTTTGTATGCAAACAGAAAGATTTTGACGTCATGTGTCAAAAACTCAGTCAAGCGTAAAATGATGCGATTTAGAGCAAAAAATGGTGCGATTCGCGAATAAATCGCACCAATTAGAGCCAATCAGATTACAGGGACTACCAGTGATTTCAAAATGGATATGATAAAGCCTTTAATTTGTTCCAATATGGTGGAGCAACGTGGAGTATCACATCCAAGTCTAACGTTAGGCTTCTTTTTCGATTACAAACTGCCAGGACTATACTAGATATTAAAATTAAAGAAGAACGGACTGTTTGCTTATTTAAGAAACTAAATTGGATGCCTTTTATAATGAAATTAATGTTAACAACCTATGTGTTATTTTTAAATGTATACAGGAGCAATGCCCAGAATATCTACGCTCTAAGTTAGTCCTTGTAAGCGATACATCAGAAAGATCTTCGCGTTATGGGCACATAACACTACACTACTCCAAGTACAACAGGAAAACAAAAGGGGGTAAAACCCTTTTAATATCATTAATTCTACTGTGGAACTCCTTATCTGTTAAAATGAGACATAGCGAAACTATCAACTCTTTTAAACGCAAATATATTGAGCAATAATGGATGGGTACTCTATATTGACCATTTTCGATTATCCTAATATTCTTAACTTTTATTCTCTCATTGCATGTTGATAGCTAGGTCATCATCCTATTATTGTAATTACTATCGTTAGAAATTTCTAAATTATTGCAATTGTTTGTAACTTTTTCTTATTGTAATATAGGTGAGGGCCACAGCTTTCTCAGTCTGAAGACTGTAAAGTGCTTCCCTCGTTAAATAAAGTTATTTATTTATTTACTGTTGGCAAAAATCTTACTATAGGCGCAGAATTCTAATCCATTCTTCGAATGAATTAAATCTTGATATCATTCTATTATTTACTTATACAATTAAGGCCAAGCTCAGTACTTTGCGCACACATTATTCATTGAAAGAAAGCATGTAAATTTCATTCCTGCAGAAATCGTTTCTATCAGCTACTTCGATTAACTAATTCTTTATTATATATTGTTATTGTTTAAATCACGTTCTTACAAGGGGGCGAAAAAATGGACGAAAACATCGATGATTACTTTCTGGATAGGTAACTACGAGTTCAACTTGGTGTAAATAAGCTCGAGCAAATTTTCAAAAACAACAAAATTGCACTAGCCCGTAGTATCTGAAAACCATGTCTTTTCAAAATAAAATTGATCATGGAGAATGCTCTGAAACCCTATAAACTGTCAAATTCTGTTGACGTCACACCAAAAAGCCATAATCCATAACAAATATAACTTTATATCTAACTTTCTAAGTTATATCTAACTATCTAACTTTATAAGAGTTCTAGTCGCGTATTGTTAAATACTAGGAGGCCTTATAAGGTGGGTTTCCCAGCTAAAACAACTGAGGTTGAGGTTCAATCAACTGAGGTTGACTTTATCGCATGGTGATATAACCCATGCAGTAATCCTCTTTCCAGCCTTTTACCACCTCTGGTCTTAATTCATTGAAAGTTAGGGTATTAAGTCAAAACAGGAGCCCATTACCCAGAGCTTCTATATCAGTTGTGCCCTTGAGTCAATCCTGTCCCGTATCTTTTTATTATTAGAACTGTGATATCTGCGAGGGTTCTTTAATTTCCCGCGAAAACACGCGCTTTCCGCCATTATTGAAATACTTTCATGCGGCCTGCAAGTGACGTAAGACAATAGAGACGACAGCTCTCTTATGATTGGCTATTATAAAAACACTCGCGAAAACCGCCGTGGGAGGTGCTTCTTAAAATATAAAAATACGGGACAGGGTTGACTCAGAGGGTCAGTGTGGAAGATGGAAGCTCCGGGTAATGGGCTCCTGGTCAAAACGATTCTAAGAAAAGACTACTTCTCAGTTTACAGTACTTCCCTAGATAATTAAACTAAACAGACTTCAGAAGGTAATAGGCTAAGTGCCACCAACTAACTTTCGTTCTCCAAGCCATTTTCATGTTCCACGTTTGACTGCAAATGGTGACTTTTCATGACTACGCCTACTTGAGAGAAGGTATCCTGTGGCGATTTTTCGTGGGACTTTTTACTTCTCCTAAAGTTAAATGAAATATGAAAACTACATTAGATTATTGTGCAGCTAAATGCTTTTAAAAGGCTTTGTTTTGGAAGGATGTTTATTTTGGATATGTTCGGTATATCACAACTTAAAGTTAATTTGCCGCTGGGGTGACAAATCTTTCGCTATTTTCTTAAAAATGAGAATCGCTCCTTGTTTCCCGGTTTTATTCTAAGTTACTTTTTGGGGTCACCGTGAGCAGTCCAAAAAAATTTCAAAAGAAGTGATCTACCTCATCGGTTAACTAGAACTACCGTCCACGCAGTGGAGGAGGTTTGAGAAAAGAATTTAGGGCTTGAAGGTAAGTAAACCGTATGATTAGGGAGAAAGGAACATTTACCAGGGCATTTGTTTCCAGAAGATTGGTGCAATAAATCGTGTTCAATTTGCGAAATGGCCTTCACCAGGTAACTGATCAAACTCGAAAAAAGAAACCTTCGCGGGTTGATAACAGTTTATTATGGAAATAGAAGTCAGAATCTTTCGTTTTTAAGAAGTACATAGATAAATAAATAGATTCCTTTAGATAGACACAGACGGTATCTTACCAATATGCAATTCCAACAATTATCACGATGACGACCACTAAACCGCAGAATACACCAATCAAAGCCCATTTCCGATCATTGCCGCCTTGTTCAACTGGTCGGGTTGGTGGCGACTCGGTAGCTGTGGCGGTCCTGTTTTCCTTTACACCTACATATTTGGTAAACGTAAGTGATTGATTTTTAAAAATAAAAGAAAACTTATCGTTTATTACTTTGTTCTGTATTCCACGAAACAATACCTTAGGCGACATGTCTCCTGTATAGCGTTTTTATGATCTGTTATCATATTTCTCCACACGCAAAAGTTGGCTAACTTTTTTTTTAAAAGTGGAAATAATGAACTTCGTAGTCATAGCAGACCCATTTCACAAACTTGTTTTCACAGCTGGTTACTTTTCAAGTTTTCCTCTTAAATATGGAAGCTTAACCCATTTGTGAAGCTTTAGAGGTGCATCCTCCGAGAACTTCGCTAAGCAGATAAGGCCCAGGAGGCCGAAACAGTAGTCTGCAATTTTTCAACTTCTTTGGTAGCAGCATCTTTTTTATGGCTGATCTCAGTTAACCTGGGTTTGAATTGCTTCTTTGCAGAAGGAATCATGATTGTAACCCCCTTGTAAATTGGGGAAAAGAACTGAAAGAAATGAAAAGTGACTTACCGATTGACAAAGACATCACGAGACTCTGAACAGCTAGAGTGAGTAAGGAGATTAAATTAATCAGAGAAATGGTATTTAGAAGCGTGAAGGCATTTATTGGAGAAAAACTGATAATGAATTTCTTGGCAAAGAAGGTGTGGAAGGCCATAGGAACACAATCGATTGCTTTTTTTTTTTTTTTGGTTACTGACTCACTCTATTAATCCTATCACGTCTCCCTCGGTCTGAATGATGTATATGAAATTAGTCAATCTTTGCTTTATTGCAAATTATCACATTTTAAGAAAGATACCTTGGCATTCTTTACAGAGAAATCAAGTTCATTTCACTGAGAGGAAGAAAACAATTACGAACTAATATAATTTTTTGACGCTAAAATTTTCTTACTGACGGGCGAAGAGACAACTGCGCGTTTACTTCTTGATGAAGCCGTTGGTGGCGATGGAGTGGGATTCCTTGTATATTTTATCTGTGTGGCACTAAGCGATCCAGTGATCTGCGAACTGGACATACTTGGAAGGGCTGATGCAGACAGGCTTGAGAGGACAGTTGTGTTTCGAACATGGCTTGAGAGCACAGGTGTGTTTTTAACATGGCTTGAGAGCACAGTTGTGTTTTTAACATGGCTTTGAGTTGGACTTTTAGAAATTGAAACATTCTTCGAAAGGACGACTTTGACAGCTGCGAAAGAGAGGGATTGGACTCTGCATGATAGGAAAACCTTGTTATCTCAGCATATACTCTGCTAATGTATTGCCATATATATCAGCACAGGTAATGACAACTTTATAATACGAAAGTAACGTTCTGTTCATTAATTTGTTTTCAAATTTTTTGCAAAAGTATAAAAGTATATTTACTGTGCTTTCTGTATTTTGTTTAATATAATTACACTAGTTTTTTTAAACAGCACTATGGTCTTTTCCTCAATTGTTTGTCTTAAACAGGGGTGACGCTGTTGTTTCGTGACGACAGAATAGTTTCTTACCTGAAGATGAAAGTAGAGACAGTAAATTTTGATCACTGTGCAGAAAGGGTACGTTTTTCTTAGGACAGTCATACGCTTGTTGCCAATTACATAGACGTGCCTTGAATCGGTGTGACAAGGACTGTTACATAGGCAGAATACCTTTGGCTAGTTGGTTCATCAGACAAGATTAATGAAAATTTAAAGGTTTCTTCCATACCTGCTGATGTGCTTTGTGCTGCACGAGCTTGGGTAGAGGTAAGTGAGACATTCACGGTGGAGAATACAATGCTGGTTGTACCGTATACATGATAAAATCTTGGGAAAACTAAGAAAAAGGACGTGAGAATTTATATCTTGAATTTATAAACCACCAAAGGTTAAATTGATCAGGCAAAACGTGATTTTCCTGCTTTTGATACAGTTCATACTTTTGACAAACTGACACAAGAAAATAATGACGAGAACATTCAGCTCGATTAAACAGCGCAAACATATATGGAATTGTATGGCAGCCCAAAGAAAGCTCACAAAGGACCCATGGCGCTGTTGTTCGTCCAGACCTTTCTTTGGATTCAGAGCGTGACTAAGAGTATTCTATTTGATTAGAAGCCTTTCAAAGATTTTTCAACACATTTGCCTTCCTTTGGGAAGTAACGAAACTGGATCCAAAATGGGTCTTTTTCTCAGCTCTGTTCGTTGTTAAACATAAGGATTTTCATCTTTGTAATGTTTATCCTGACACACTCTCTGCTGAGCCTCGTGTGTAACGATTTTTCACTAACCACATTTCGGCTTCATCTGCGAATTATTCAAACGGACGAACGCCAATATGGATTATTTTTAACATTAATTCCATGAGCAAGTTGGATACGAGTTGGCTACAGCCATTATCGTATCCGATCAGCACGAGTGGAATAACTTTTTTCACTTCTTCACTTTTCAGCAGTGCTGTTGGGTGGTCACTAGATTTATTAAAACTCACAAATTCTCTTCTTATTTATACGTAGGAAATCAAATGAATGTAACTTCCGACCGCCAAAACGAAAAACCTTGAATCACATGACAAGTGCAAGATATGGTAATTTCCGATCCAAGAAACAATGAAAGATACGAGATACAATACCTTACGATATAAGCATTCACCTGTGTTTGAATCAACAACTTATCGACAAGTGTTTTGTTCATCTGGAACCGAGCAAAACAAGTGATCAAGGACACCGAAGGACAGCTTTCGTTTGAAAATCCTGGACTTATTTTCTCACTCTGACTTTGCCAGTTACGAGTCACAAGTTTACTGAGACAAGTATTTGGTTGACCTATAACACTTCAAGCTTATTCTGAAGCGCTCTGCACATTTGCAAATCTTTTGCTGCGAGGTAGAGAACGGAATAATCAATATTATGGCTACTCAAACAGACTTCAAAATGGTGAGCTTTTGTAATACTAACCTCGCTTTGCGAGCGGCACAAAGGAATTTTGGCTTTCGGTTTTTTTTCTTTATTTACCTCGCTGCGCTAGGTTCACACTACCACGATCTCTTGCCAGCATTCCCCGGCACGGCCCTTGCACGCTCGGTTAATAAGAAGTTAATAATTTTCAAAAGTATGCACTGCCGAAAGTATATAATATATGACGCGTGCATTTTTGCTTGAGCTGCAAAGTTCCCCTCCAGTTATACCGTGAGGTTTCAAAACGTTCAAGAATTTTCTTCTGAAAGCCGATTAGAACTTGGAACTTAAAGTGTCAAATTAACTATCTAGCTAAAATAAATAAATCTAGCGAGCAATGTATAATTCTCAAACGCGCTTCAGATAATGGCTGAACAAACAAAACAGCGTTTGCCTACCTACGCTTACACTAATTTCTTTTTAAACGATAAATATCATCTTTTAATTAAGTAATTTGCCCTATAATTATTGCTCAACAGAGGATCTTGTTTTAAAATCGTACAGTTTTCAGAATTTTCACCACAACGCTTCGAGTTTTTAAGTTTGTAAATTCTATTAAAAAATAATTCAAGCGAATGTAATACGTAGGTCTAGTACATGCGAGAAATTGGCACGTTTTTCGCTTATTGAGCATTTCCCGGTCGTTTTTGCCTTGATTTTATTCCGGTTTCCGGGTGCAACGCGATTAATTGGAAAAAAACCGACACAATTGTACATAGAACGCTCTTTTTAGCGCACAATTTGTATCCATTGTGTTATATAAAATGAGTTCTTGCTTATAGCTGTGCGTGTCCAACTATCGAGGTATGGATGAACGCACTCAGGAAGTTCGGAGAGCACTCAAGAAGCTAAATTTGCTTTCAGTTTCGCCTCGAGCAAATCTTACGCTTCTCACGTGCCCTTGAAACTTCGGCGTGCATACATACCTCGCTTTATGAACGCCAAGCACGAACCAATTGTCAAATAATGATAAGCTTCTCTTTGCTCCGTCATTCTTCTACAATACTTAAAAACCCAAAATACGGTCGCTCAGCTACTCGACATTTACCAAACCAAATGAAAAAGCATTTCAAGGTCAGCATATCTTTCAACAAAATCTTCTGAACATTGATGGCCAAAAACTGAACTGGTAAATCCTTACGTCCGTGAAAACAGTAGAGAAGCACCAACTCTGTAACTCTTTCCAAAATTATATAGACTAATTCTTCCGTTTCACGTCTCGCATCTATCAGTTAGAAGGTGGCCCGCCTAGATCAACCCTCCGTACGAATCACTATTCTCAATTTTTACAGTATCAGTTGAATGAAATGATGGCCGGAAACTGAGAAAAATTATAAGCTGTAAAATTTTTGTCAAAGGTTTTAWTTTTTTCAAAAGATACTCGGAAGCGGTTGCCAAGGTTTGCTCAGACCTAAGTAATTAAATGAACTGTTTTTTAAAAATAAAAATGGGAAATTTTTCGCTAGCAGACTACAATTCTTAATGGCCGGAAATTGACGTATTTTTAAAAAAATGAAGCAAACACATGACACGAAGGTGATCACATGCAGAAATTTTTTAAACTGATGAGTAATTCACGCAGAATTACAATGTAATCATCACTTTAGTGACGTCCCTTATGAGTTATCGAAACATACATGTTTTTCAACTCAGTCCAGCCAGAAAAATAGCAATTACAACTTATCCATAAAAAAAGAGGGTACTTACCCAGAAATAAAACTGGAAGAAGGAACACAACCTCAGCCGCTCGCATGTTGCCTTGGAGAGCCTCAATTCCTCACGAGTGTGGCTGTGTAAATGTTCAGTCTGCATTTAAGTCTCGCGTCAACTTTATCACGTTTATTGCGGATGATCCGAGCGACAACCGCCGGTGGACCCAAGTAAAGGTCAATAATAAAATGTGATCGTTTAGGGGATTACATGTGACAAGGTACGACGACTCCTTATCAAATTTTCTGTTCTGACTAATAAGTGTTTTCCTTTTTGTAAAAAAAAAAAGTTCTTTTCCTTTTGTTTCATTTTTCTCGAGCGTAAAGTACGTTTAATTGGAATTTGGACCGATTAAAGGAAAAAAAAAAAAAAAATCTTCAACCGGTACCAAGGGTTAATAAGAACAAATTACTTTTTTTACTGTAACAATTGCATTTTGCTGCACGATCGCCAGTTTTTCATGAGAGAAGCAGCTGGCAATGTCTAGGACATAAATAACTTTGACTAGCGATTTATGCAAAGCCAGAATTATTTCGTTCAGTTTTAAATCACGAGGAAGCTCCCGGTGCATCGAGAACACTTGCTATATAAAAGACTTGACGACCTGTCCCAAGGAATACTTTGTTTTCATTTTCGAAGAGTCTTGATGCTTGAAATTCGAGGGAAACAATGTGGAACATATCCCAAAGGACCAGTCATGAGGGGATTTGTCATGCTACACGACAGACATATTGATAGAGGCGTTGTGGAAACAAATTAAAAATTTACTGATAAGTTTCGTGTAAGCGCAAAAGAACACAAAATACCATAATGCCTAAAACGTTCGTAATGGTTAACTAAAAAAGGGTTTAAGATAATCAAACTTTCGAATAAAAAATGATAAAATATTGTTCCAGGCCAATGCTTGTACGTGCTGTTTTCGTGTAGTTTTTATTTTTTTGTTTTGTTTTTTTTTTCTTGCACAGGGATAAAGGTCAACGAGGGGTTCGTTTATGGACTGAGTCCAGGTATTATCACGGGGGGAGGGTGGGGAGGGGGAGGAGAATTTTTGGCGATCACATGGTTTTCAGTGGAAACGGATGGCAAATCATTCTTCGAAAATTTACCGTCAATTGACGGCGAATGAGGGGGAGGGGCTTCGGATATTACACAGTATCACAACACTACCAAAATCCTCTTCCTCCCCCTCCCCCCTCCCAATCCGGGCAATTAATAATATAAATATAGAGGCAAGACCAATACAACGTAAATAAGTTTTAAGACAGAGCACTATATTTCGGCTGGCCAAACCAGCCTTCTTCAGGTTTGGCCAGCCGAAATATAATGCTCCGTCTTAAAACTTATCTACGTTGTCTTGGACCTGCTTCTATATTTATATTCGTTATTTTGGGCCGATTAGATCACTGCTGATCCAACGTACAAGATTAGAATTATCGTCCACGGTTGCTTGCTGAACATTTAACATATAAGAATGACCGTTCTCTTAATTCCTCTTTGAGAAATATCGTCATTCTCCTGGTATCTCTAGAAGGTTTTGAAATAAAAGAAAAAAGATAGTATTTTTTTTAAGATTAGTTATGAAATAGAGAAGGATGTTATTTTCCGCTGTGAGCGTGGGCCAAATAGAAAATGTCTGAGTCCTCTTGGGGAATATATTACCAGCATACACGCGTCCTGCATAGATCTTTGTCTACCTCATAACGCGGCCTGAACAATTCACCTTAATTCTCTTTCTATTGATGGTTCACATGTTTCTTTCGACATTGCTGAACCTAGCTGTAGTTAGGACGCATATCACGTATGAATCTAGTATTGGCCATTGCCCATCGCAGAGTACCTGTGGCTCAGTTATATCACTTTTATCTTTCTCCAAGTTTTGTTTTAATTAGACGCTTCAGGGACGGTTTGGAATCTTTCCGTTCGAAAAGGCAGGGATTTCTTGTCGGGAAAAATAAACAAAATGTGAATGGAGTTGGCAATGCAAGTCACCAGAATTCCTTTCAAAAAAGTGCTGTTGGTCAAACACTTTCAAGCCGTATGTTCACGTCCAACTGGTGTCGCAGTGGTGTATGACAATATGGCAGTTGGATAGACTGCATTGAATGGTGCACTCGACTTTGGTTTTCGAAGTTGGTTCAAATTATTATCTATTAGTTGAGTTCAATAACTTATTTTAGACTCAGTGATTGTGGTATGCTTTATGTTTGTTTCTATCCTATGGGGGGGGGGGGTGCGACTTGTTGCTTGCTAATCCACCTACAGACTTGCAGTGATGCGGCCTGTGTTTGTGGACTGAATAAATTTTACATATCAAGATAAATTTGTTTCAATAACAATGAAATCCAGCTTTGTTGTAAAACTTTAATCATTGAACGAGGGTAGCAAACCTGTCGGCGTTGACATAAACAAATCTAATTATCTACTTGGATGCTTTTATCTTTGCTTTTTACTATATACCACAAATTGTGTAAATTACAGTGAATATTAACCATAACTTCGTAACTGGGGTTTAAATGAATATAATGGTAATTATCAATAAAGACTTAGAAATGCAAAGACTAGCAAAAACTAACGATAAAAACCGACGTTTCGGTGTCATCATGACGCCATTGTCAAGGAGAAATAAAAAATGAAGCTTGTGGCAAGGTGTAACACTAAATTAGCATAAATATGTTACGAGCTAATTAAACAAATACTTTTGCGCGAATTGAATCGCTTTGCACGTTCAGAGTGGGTTTTAAGTCTCTGATGAAAAGCATTTCGTTCACCAAACAATCGAACTTGTTACTACACTTTTTCAGAATGCTAAAACGTTTCAGTAGGTCTTTCGGGACTTCGCTGTGCCGTTCGTGGTAGTGTTTATATATTGAAGATGCCTTTCGTTTATGCTAATTTGTTTCAATAACAATGAAATCCAGCTTTGTTGTAAAACTTTAATCATTGAAAGAGGGTAGCAAACCTGTCGGCGTTGACATAAACAAATCTAATTTGTTTCAATAACAATGAAATCCAGCTTTGTTGTAAAACTTTAATCATTGAAAGAGGGTAGCAAACCTGTCGGCGTTGACATAAACAAATCGGATGCTTTTATCTTTGCTTTTTACTATATACCACAAATTGTGTAAATTACATTGAATATTAACCATAACTCCGTAACTGGAGTTTAAATGAATATAATGGTAATTAACGCACAAAATGAGTCGGACTGAAAACACTCAGAATACGATATCTTACATATCTTTAAGAAAAAATTGATAAAAAAGGGTTTTTATTCGTTTAAAAAAGTAAAAAAAAAAAAAGCCTAACGAACTATGTTATCAACACACCATGACACCGCCCTCTCTTTACTCGCGATAAAACATATTCTTAACGATCGTTGGCGGAAAATAGATCGCGTGACAGTGGGATGCAAGTGACGAGGCAGGGAATTACGGGGTGGAGAAGACGGAAAATGTGAAAATTCCCATCCGCTCCCCTCTCCATATCATGTGAAGGGCTATTTTTGGGTGCACTCGTTACTGTTATGAGCTCTGCGAAAAAAAGAGCTTATGAACGATCTTGATTCCTCAAGTTATCGTACAAAATGTAGTCAGTTCATTGTTAATCTACCAACTAAGCAATCAGTCTACACCACACACTCACACTACTCTCCTTCCCATTCCCCCGGACGATGGTTGAACGCTTGTTCATCTCTCAGAACTGACATTTTAAGGTTGGGCAAGAATGGGTAACTAATTAATGCAGTATGGCCTTAAGAGCATTATCGCCAACTATTTACGAAAGTTTTAAAAAGCTACAGTTCGTCAGATCCTGGAGTAAAAATATCTGAAACAGTAGTCAAATCGAATGACTTCCTTATGCTAACCCATAGTGGACACCAAATTGGGAATCCAGTATTACACACGGCCTCCCTCCCTTCCCTTGTTATTCACTTTCACTGAGATATAGTGATAACACGCAAAGTAAACGACCCAGGGCAAATTGAGATTGCGTTATGAACTACCAATTATGCCGAGTGGGAACCAATCCCCAAGCTGTTTTCTTTCTTCGCTCCTTCTTGTACAGCAATATCCTCCTGAGACGGGTCTGTTATGGGTTTCACATCACGTTTTCTTTTTCTTAAGCTAAAATTGAATATTTTTAATGTTAACGTACTGAAGGTAAGATGTAACTCGGTACGTTATTCTTTCACAGATACAGTTCTGAGAAGGATTATACAAACACTAAACTTTAAACTTGCGTTATTGTCCGAAATCTAATAATTTTTTTTCAGCACGTCACCGAGTTCTTCATAAGAAGACGCAAAAACACGTTTTATTCGAGATAGAACAAACTAACCCCTTCTAGCTCAGTAGCATATTATAAGGTGGTGCCTTGGGACGTGACATTCATCGCAGTCTCTTATAGTCACTCAAGATGCCTCACCAAATGTTTAAGTTTTGCAAAATAATTCTGCCTTGGGCATCATCCTTTTATGTACGTGCCGCGTGATGGGTTTATGAACTTGTCTTTGCAACTAAGTGAAAATTATTTCAAATTTATAAAATGGTGTCTTACCAGAATATTAGCAAACCAATAAGGATAATGACCACCACACCAATAACTACACCAATCACAATCCATTTCCAACTATCGTCTGCTGGCTCAGCTGGTCCCCCTGTTGGTGACTCTGTAGTTGTGGTGGGTTTGAATAACGCTTCTATACCAGAGATGTTTGCTCCTATGACTTTCTCGATGTCGAGCTTGTGAGCTTTCATAATGGCCACCAAGGCGTCACGAGGAAGAGCTGTGCAATTTCCGATGAAGAGAAAAGCAGGCTGCAGTACGTAAAATGCTACCCGGAGAGGGTCTGATGAGTTCTTGGGATAACCAGGCAGGAGATGAACTTTCTTATAGTCGTAAAGGACGTTATGAGAAGAACGTCTGGAGAGATTCAACGGCAAACGCATAAAGTCAAAACACGTTAGCGCGTTAACATTAGCAAACCAAAACCAGACCGAAAAAAAAAAACAAACAAAAAAATTAATTAAAGAGTAGATAATTACATGATGACAAAAATAATAACTTACAGTAAATAGGACACTCGTTTTAAGGTAGCATCTTATCTTTTCCTAATTCAAGCTCAAGATTTATAAGAAAATCAAAGGAGATGATATTTTGTTTATGTTTTTTATGTTTTTGTCTACAATGCCAAAATGCCTTAGATTTTGATTTTTGTAAAATTGCGTTGATGATAATAATGCTAATAACGATAAAAATAATAATACGAATGATGCACGATTCTCGTAGTAGAGACCGCTATTTATGCAATAGCGCTCTCTACTGCGAGGATCGTGCATCATTCGTATCTATAATCGCAGTTCAAAATATATGAACTTCATATATTCTCCGTAACTAAAAATAATAATAGAGACAGAACAAAAACAAAACCGAAAAGGGAAAGAGAACAGGAAAACAAACCACTGACAAACTTATCGAACAAACTTGTAATTGAACCAGCAACAATAACATATCAAACCTTAGACACAATTACCTCTTCCGCCGTGAATCTTTAAGTCCACACATTGTCCTGTTCTTATTGCAGAAATCTGATGCGACTGTCGCTACTTCTGTTTTAAACGACTTGTCTCTATCATAGTCCCATTCAATCTGCCAAAGAAAACATGAATAATGACGACAATATTTCGTTCAGCAAACAGCCCTCCAGGTGAATAATAAACTAATCTTTCCTTAATTACAATTAAGAGCACTGAGAACTTTTTGCTGGTGTCATTTATGAGAGTTTTGTTCGAGTAACGGCCTGTTTGCTGTTTGAAACTTGAAAATTTCTGTCTTGCTGTCGTAGTCTGCATGGTCCTTGTCAACTCCTACAAGAAACTACAACCGAACACAGATAATCATTCCCATTCAAACATCTCTTGTTAAGAAGTATCAGGGTGCTTTTGAAAGTGTGATATATGCACGTCTTGTGTCCCGTGTTTTCCCTGTGACTTGTTGGCTATGATATCGTTGTCGAACAAAAAAAGTTACTTACCCCACTTGGAATTGAGAACTGAACAGCTTCTTCCTTTTCGGATTCTGATGCGTTACGGGGTTCAGGAAGTAGTAGCTTAGGACGTGGCTGGTTTTTCTTCAAACCTAGGTGGTTACAAAAAATCTGACGATGAATTGGATACATGGGGACAATGGTATTCGGGTAATTTGTGTTCCAATTTAATCTGATCTAGCTTAGAACTGCACATCTCGATTTTTCTTTTAATGTAATAGCTGCGCGGCTTTTTCGCGTCTTCAATTCTAGTTTGCGTACCATTTGTTTAAACGCATCATGTAACTATACATTCCACAGCCAAAACTGGGCAAGTGACGTTCCCCAGTTCTCAATACTTGTGTCCAGGAAGAAGAGAGAGGTTAGACAATTGTTTATACACAATCCAGTCCTTCCAGAATCCAGCTTTCAGATATGAATTGCGTTTATTTTCTTCTCTCAAAAAATAATAAAGTATATCTCTTTCCAATTAACAGTAATTTGCTACCTTGGCATTTTCCATCAAAGTAATACGTGTCTTGAACACATTCACATCTGTAAGAGCCACGAGTGTTGACGCACCTCTGGTTTTTATCCGGACATTCGTACGTGTCATCATCCAAACACTCGTTGATATCTTGATAATAGCAGCGAGATGCAATTATTAGTAATTAAAGGCAAAAGGCTTAAGAGAACACAATTTATATAGTGGTAATTGAGTGCAGCGGAGAAGTTAATGAAAGAGGTTACCTGCGATGGACTGTTGAACCCTAAGGAGTGAGTAGGAATACTGCCATCCGCTTAATCTATCACTCTTAAGAGTGACTAAAGATGTATTTCTCACTACAGTATCAAAACGTTTTCGAGCAGAAGGAAAATGGGAAGATAGAAAGACATCAAATGTGGGATATCTTTGATTTACCAATAAATTCAAAGAACAAAAATTACAAGAAATGTACAGGACAGTGTAGAGAATTAGTTTCTGATTGGAGAGCTATAAGGTTTCAATGCTGCGAAGCGGAGGTGAGGCACCCCGTTAACAAGGAGTGGAGACTTTGCCAATAATTTTTCAATATGGTATGAGTAAATCGCAGAATGCGAACAATTACCTGCACACCCGTAGCCATCTTTTTTCAACTCAAAACTTTTCTTACACGAACAGATATAACTTCCTGGGGTATTTGTACAAGTCTGATCGCA